ACTTGATAGATTCCAGTCCTCCGGCTTTTCTGTCCCTTTCCCTGACTCCCAGAATAACTTCCTTTTTTCTTGAGAGCGTTATTAACATGGTGTGTGGCTTTCACTTCTCATTGGAATCGCTCAACTCAGATTTAATTTCTGCCCTTTTTTTCTCCCCCCCCCCCCCCATCTCTCTATCTCGATAATGTAAAACCTTGTTAGCTTCAATCAGCCAGTAACTACATCAATTCCATTCTACTCTGTACACAGCAGGACTAATCCAATTTGTGGTAAAGCTTTTATTTTGTTTTTTCTTCTGGTATCGGTTCCACCTTCATCCGTTCTGGTTTGCCTTAATCCAAGCCCATCCAAAGGAGACGTTTTCTTGTGTTCTCGTTCACCTTGCAATTTCCGTCCCTGGAAAGCTACGTACAAACACACTCAGTTATTTTCCAATTAGGCTCGGGTGATTGGTTCAAATTGATACACTCGCAATGGGAAAGGATAGTGCCTGCCTTTCAAAAAGGAAAAAAAAAATTGAAAAAAAATTGGGGCATTACTGAAGAAAAAAAATTCTTGGCCTCCCAGGAGAAGGGAGAGTTAGTGGGCAGTCCCTTCGTCATCGTTTTTGATAATTACACGGTGCGAAGGAATCAGCAGGTGCAGAGAACCGGCTAAGGGAGGGGACCGGGCAACCCACTGCTTTCTGAGACGCGAACGCATCACCGCACCAGCAAGGGGCAAATTTGGATCTATCAACACTTAATTTGCCACATTTTTTTTTCTCCCATTCTCTGTAACACATCAGTTTTGTTTTTTTCAGAAACTGTTACACTTTCCAATTTTTTTTTGGTTTGTTTTATCAAATCCATTGCCGGCACACCACTGCTCAAGAATGTCGTGCACTTTTGCGCAAATATTTGTTATTGAGACTTGCTCCTTGGGCGATAATCATGCGCGCATTTGTTTTGATTAAATTTTGGGGACATTTACTGTAAATGTTGGGTGGGCGGAAACGGCAACATTGCCCCCGCGATTAGCAATCCACTCAAAGTGCGACTGTCATGAAGTGTGTACCTAACTCCCTGATTTACGAACTCTAATTTGCTTAGCCACCACCCTGTCACAATTTACATCCCTGGATTAAAAAAAAAAAATTGCCTCTTGTATCCTGTCTCTTTTTGTTGATCATTGATGCTTGGAATGAAAGAACCAGACTATTGTGCTCTGGTTACTTGTAAGAGTGTTGAATAGGCTTTGCGTAGCAATTAATTCAGAGCTTTTCATTTCAAGTGAATCGCTAAGCAGGCTTGTGGTCACTGGTTGGTAGGATTATACAAAAACACGGACCCCTTAGTGGGTATCAGATTAATAGATTAAAAAAAAACAGTCTTTTGAACTGCCTTGTTAACTCCTGTGGTGTACTTAGAGTTGAGGTCTTTCTTTTCATTTCCAAGTTTGGGGCTTCTTCGGAGGTGGATCACACATCCTGGAGAGAATCTTGGCCATGCAATAAAAAAATTGTGTTTCTCCTCCTTGGCAAAATAAGAGAGGCAAGGAGCACTAGCCAGCATTCTATTTTCAGCTTTAGTTTTGATAGGTTTTTTGGTGTGAATACTGATGTTTGAAAGTTCAAAAGAAATTGATGTTTGCATAAATTACGTTGGAGGGATTAAAAAAAACAGGTTTTCATGTGTGATGTTCTTGTCCTCATATAAAAGCAAAGAAATACAGCAAATTACCGGTACTTACAGTACATTATGAGTGCAGTGATGATATTGCTGTGTTACTCTCCATACAGAAAGTTGTGTTTTCTTTACTTTCTTATACATGTCTGCTTTCCAAAATTATTCTGTCATTTTAAGATGACTTCTTTTTAAAATTTAACTGTTAAGTTATTTGTACAGGTCTATAAAGTTCTTTGATTTTTATAAACTATTGAAACTACAAATTCAAAATATAAGAGAAAATTGGAGAAAAAAAAATAGAAAATAAAAAATTATAACTAAGGAAATACAGGTGAAAAAAGGTAATAGGCCCCTATCTGCCAGTACCCCCTCACCGGCAAAGAAGGTACAGTTGGGGGTGACCGAATGACGCCATCTTGCCTGACTGCAATTTTTGCCGCTAAGCATTGCCACTGCATTTCCATAGTACAAAATCCCATGGTGTACGTGCGTCACACACAAGGAACGGTGCGCGTGTCAACCTGCGAAATGTAGTATCCCGTCCATGGGACGTCGTTGCTAGGTAAAAGGGCGCCCTCTTTTGTTGGCGCACGGAGCCCATATTGTACAGAAGCAGGAAACTGAAAATTTGATTCAGTGTAAATGGAAAGACATTGGGAAAAAAATATAAAAGTCAAATGTAGAAAGAAGTTGGGAAAGTAAATGATTTGTTTTGAGTCTTGAAAATCAAAAGTTAGGCCATCAGCCTGGGGTTTGGTCAGTATCAAATCAGGGCATAAATGATTACAGTGCGCGTACGCAAGGTATACCGCCCCTAGAGTGGTAACAAGCATTTTGATGGACATTTTGAAAAAAAGGGTGATAGCACCCAAAAAAGCTGCCACTGCTGCAATGCTATCACATATTTCCCAACTCTGGAGGTGTATACCTTGCCAAAAATCGCTTTGACGATTATTCCCCTCATTTGATACCGGTGGCCAACATTTTGGACCGAGGCTGATGGCCTAAGTGTAGGCAGCTCAGCAAGACACATTATGTACCATACCAGTACCGAAGAATGGCACATTGTATGTGTATCATCTAATTATCTTTTCACAGGGTGACACAAGCTGTAGGCGAGTCATATCAGGCCAAAGTTCTTAATCCACAAACAAAAACAAACCCATTCCAAAACTTCCCCACAACTCAATGGTCAGTTGGTCAGTGGCCGTCTTTGATGTGGTCACTCCTCTGCACCTGCATGCTGACACTGTGGTTCATGACATGGTCAGTCCATTGTCTGTCCTATGGTCTGACCCTTGCTTGACTAGGAATTGAAGGCACTGTCTTAAGAGTTTGGCAAAAGAGTTTGGACCCATGCATTCGGCACAAACATCAAAGGAAACACCCCTCAAAAGTAGAGATAACACCCCTTGTGTGGTTCAAGCCTGTTGCTGTTGACTCATCCCCGAGGATTATGGGATTATGACCGTGGTCAGCATTGTGCAGACAGGATGTATTATTTGGACACTTTAAAGTCAGTGTTAATGACACACCATCGTCAATAAGAGATGAACTATGACCTTTAACCTTTGTACAAAAGCTACCTCACCATTTTTTAGGGTATTTGTGTGGGTTACTTAATTGAATTTAATTTGCCCAGCAGGTATACCTGGTACAGAATTTTTGCTTGATGACTAATATCAATTGATACCCGGAAATTACCCACTGGCAAAAGAATGGCAAATGGTAATGAAAAAGACTTGGGATTTTTTTAGTAGCCGTAATAACCACTCCTTTTGAGACCATGAACATAAACTCCAATCTACTTAAGTCTGGAATTTGTGGTGATTGGACTCTGACAAGATGCAATTCCAGCTTTGAATTGCTGCATTAAGTGTGGTTAAACGACAAACTTTAGGGGGAAAAACACATAAACAGGTCATTTTCAGCAGTTAAAACTTTTTTATCAGATGGTTTTTTCTTTTTGTCATGTACTGGACTCCATACCCCTTTTCTTGGATAAACCTGCAATATTCATGTATCATACACATGTACAACCGTACACTGTGTTGCCATTAGGTACATCATAGAGCAAGTACATGTTGCCACACAGGTACCGTAGTAATAATAATGAGTCATGCTGTACATCCAAAGCCCAGGTATTTATGACCTGTGGTTTATCACTTAATGACCTTACCATATCTTGTCTGAAAACCAGGGATCCATTTTACCTTGATCATGCCTTGATCAAGCCAAAAGCAACGCATTCGTGAGTACATGTACATCATGTACATGTACTTGTACATGCAGTTACAAAAACTCATGTCAGACAAAGAAAGAAAAAGTTGGGAAGGGGTTTGGGGCATCTTGAGAACTAGACATGAGCTGAAAGATTTCTGAGTCATGTTTTGCTGTGTTTGCATCAATAATTGGGGTATTCTGTATTAAAAATAACCGTATCCTGTATGAACTGTGTCAAAACAGTGTTGAATGCAAAAGTGCATACCGGTAGCTCCACAATTGTACATGTTTACATTGTATTGCCTGTTTAGAGTAATTTAAAGGCTTTCTTAGTACCCATTTTCTGTTGAAGATTTTACATTCCCTTACATTTCTGTTCTGCCTTCAGATTTTTGTTGCAGCCATGCTCCCCATTTTAACTTCAACACTACTTGCTTACGAACAAAATAAGATCTGATTCCACACATAACAAAAAACTTGGATGGATAGCGGATAATTCTATAAATTTGGGGTCCAAAAGTGTGACATTTTAGTGTTCCTGTTACACCCGACCTGAGTAATTTGCCATACATGTACCCAGTACAAGCAGCATTAAAATTGACTTCAAACTATTTTTTGGGGGGCAGGAATTTTGCTTTCAATACAAAATCTTATTTCAGACGTAACAGGAACACGAAAATGTCACACTTTTGGACCCCAAATTTATAGAATTACCCACATGCATCTGAGTTTTTTGTTACTGGTTCACGGTATACATGTATGGAATGAACTAAGCAAAGAATGGAAAGCAAAGAATAGGAACTTATGGAATGACCCATGTACATGTAGCATTAGAAATGTTACGAAATTGCCATCGCGTGAAAGGACACAATGCTCCAGTGTCAGATGTCCCTAGTGAATTTATCTCTATTGATACTTGATACAAATGTATCAAATTGGCTGTTTTTGAGACTCAGATCAAGTACACACTTTCAGAACTCAACAGTCGACTCAAAGTTGAAGACATTGAATATGTACCTGGGCAATATTTTGTAAGCATCGTTATCTAATTAAAAAGTCACTTGACTAACCAATCATGTTTGTTTCCAATCTTTCCTTGTTTCTCTTCAGGGCCAAAGCAAGGCGTGGCATTCGCGTGATTGACGTCCACCCAGCCAATCAGAATGCATGGGACATCTCATACCGGGTCAAGCAAAGGGGCGGTTCCACCATGGTGACTGTACTGAGGGGTGGAGCTACAGGTGCCCCGCCCACAGAACAGAGGTACTTAAAGGGACACCAATACAAACTTCTTTTTTAGAAATCTGATTTAACAATTGATCAGGACCCAGACTTCATGGAGTTGCCGAGCCATACATTTTGATAAGGAATTTAATTGATACGTGCTAAGCAAAAGTAAGCTGAGCACCATTTGCAAGTAATATACATCCCATGGTAATTTGGCTGGTAACCCGGTTTTGCTCAGCAAACATTTCTGTGCTTACATGTATTCGAATTACTTGGCTACAGCTTGAATTACACACGCACCTACCGGTATGGCAGCGGCTGCAGCCACTTTGGACCTTTTAGAAATTGGCCCCAGAATACCAGTAGATGTCATGAAGCTGCATACAGGAAGTATTTGTTTAGCAAAACCAGGTTGTCGGCAAAATTGTCATGTGATGTACCGGTACATACTGCTTGTGAATGGTCCCCAGGAGATTTCTGCTCACCACATTAATTTATGAAGCAATATTTTCTGCTAAGCAATATTTTCTGCTAAGCAGCTGCATGAATTAAGGCCCGAATCTTATACATGTACTTTCTATTACATGTACATGCATTTACTATTTAGGTTGATGGAGAGCCAATAGCACATGAAATTTTACATGAAGCGCTTTTTGTGAGCAGTTGGCAAAATGTCTATTGATTTGATTCCAGAAGCCCCAGCCGTACCGGTACATACATGTACATGTACGCACGTTCAAAATTTCAAGTGATTTTCAGTAACTTTAACTTCAAAAAATTCCTTCCCTCCAAAGTAGGCCTACATTACTCAAGAAACTGATGGCGTACGCAACTCTCAGATTTAAAGATACTTGAGACTCTTAAGAAAAAAATAAGACGGTCAATTGTGGCAAGCTGAGGATTCTGTGACATTTGAGTCCCATCGTGCCTATCTCCTCGACTCGATGAAATCGTGATCCGAAAAGTTGACTCTAATCCTCCGAACCTCCGCTTTTGACCTGCTCACTATAGCAAGACGGGACCATAATCCCCTGGATGTGCATTCAGAGTCCAGAGCAAGTCACCCCACTTTAGGGAGATATACGAGTGCTCGCTCACTGATGTAATCAACTCGATTCCCTCTTCGTCAAGAAACGAGGGGGGAGAGAACATTGAACTTGGTTTCTTACATTTTGATGTTTTGGAAAATAAGTGGCCGGGAAAAAATCCTTACTACATGTACAATGTATGTGGTGGGTTCTTGAAGAGTGCCCCCACTTGGAACCGGCAATTTAATTAAACCCTCTGCAATGACTTACCGGTATTAATCCTAACTCCATATGCACTTTTGCTAGGATGCAACCTCAATCCTGCAAAATTCTCCAACTGCCTCCATGTAACAATTACATACAGCCTCAATCCTGCAAAATTCGCCGTTATTTCTTGAATATGGTCGTTGGAGGGGTGACCACTGCCTCAATCCTGCAAAATCCTCCAGCAGTCACTGTCAATATGTTGAGGCAGAGCCAGTGACATCCTGGAGCAGTGCGCAGGATTTCAAGTATAATATAGGCCTAAACTTATTAGTTCAGTCGGAAAAGGGGGGTATCGTGCACCCTCGGAAATCAATTTCTAATCAACGTTTCTAGGTCAGAAAAAATGCGTAGAAAACGATTTGCTATGTTAAAAAATTCAAAAAATGTCCCACGTATTGTTTTTATGCAAATTAGTGCCGCCATTACCGAAAAATCTATTTTTAATTATATCTCAGCCAATATTGCAGATAACTGAACGAACTAGGTGTCTAAACCCATGTTTTCAAGGTCAGAGATCACAATAAAACTATTCTGGAAGTGACCACATGTGTCTGTGGCATAGGAATATGCAATTAGTGCCGCAAATACCGGAACGTTATGTTTTTGGCATATCTCGGCCAATATAGCACATAACTACACCAGTAAGGTGTCTAAACCCATGTTTTGAGGGTCAAGTATCATTAGACGACCATTCACGAAGTAACTATGTGTGTCTTTGGCATGAAAATATGTAAATTATAAAGTGTCGGTTTATCCGCTTTTTGATTTTTAGCCAATATCTCGGCCAATATTGCACTTAACTACACAAGTAAGGTGTCTAAACCCATGTTTTGAGGGTCAGGTATCATTAGAAAACCATTCACGAAGTAACTATGTGTGTCTTTGGCAAGTAAATATGTAAATTCTAAAGTGTTGATTTATCAGAAATTTGATTTTTAGCCAATATCTCGGCCAATATTGCAGCTAATGTTAACATAAGGGTTTTTGATAAGCAATAATGATCAACGTTTATTTTAAGCCATCATATTCAAAATAAACTGTAATATTGGCTGAAATTGAATATAATTTGGCTGAAAATCACTTTTTTGATAAACCGGCAATTTAGAATTTACATATTTTCATGCCAAAGACACACATAGTTACTTCGTGAATGGTCTTCCAATGATACCTGACCCTCAAAACATGGGTTTAGACACCTTACTTGTGTAGTTAAGTGCAATATTGGCCGAGATATTGGCTAAAAATCAAAGAGCGGATAAACCGACACTTTACTATTTACATATTTTCATGCCAAAGACACACATAGTTACTTCGTGAATGGTCTTCTAATGATACTTGACCCTCAAAACATGGGTTTAGACACCTTACTGGTGTAGTTATGTGCTATATTGGCCGAGATATGCCAAAAACATGATTTTCCTGTAATAGCGGCACTAATTTGCATATTCCTATGCCACAGACACATGTGGTCACTTCCAGAATAGTTTTATTGTGATCTCTGACCTTGAAAACATGGGTTTAGACACCTAGTTCGTTCAGTTATCTGCAATATTGGCTGAGATATAATTAAAAATAGATTTTTCGGTAATGGCGGCACTAATTTGCATAAAAACAATACGTGGGACATTTTTTGAATTTTTTAACATAGCAAATCGTTTTCTACGCATTTTTTCTGACCTAGAAACGTTGATTAGAAATTGATTTCCGAGGGTGCACGATACCCCCCTTTTCCGACTAAACTATATGCACGGCTGAGTATAAACAACACAAGGTCCGGCCCAAGATCTTGACACACGGCATCCTCCAAAATCGGCAACACACATTTGCCATGTGGCCTCAATCCTGCAAAATCCTCCATATTGAATATAGGATTTGGGAAGGTTACATGTATGGTACCAACCAGAGCATTTACACAATGGGAACTTTGTTCAGGCCGTAACACAAATGATTTGTCAAAGTGAATATCAACTCGGTAACTGCTAGCATGTCCCTCTCTAAAGCCACAAATTCAGTTGAAATATTAGCAAATCAGAATGTGATTACAGGGTACGTGTCTCAAAAAAGTGCAAGCAGATATCCTTTAATTTCTCAAAAACTACTTAACATGAGCATTTCATCTTGATGGAGCATATTAATTATACTCTTATGTATAATCAGTGAAAATGCCATGGAAATCCGTTCATGCAAACCAGAGATCTAACAGATTGTAAAAGGCTGTGGGTTTTCAACCATTCCAATGGGATTTACACAGTTAGTGATATCAGTGCATCGGATTGTCATGGGCCTTTTTTCACTCTGATGTACATTAAATTAACTTCCCGGTAGGTGTAAATCCCATCCCATTGGAAGGGGTGAAAACCCTTTTATAATCTGTTAGATCTCAGGTTTTCATGAACGGATTTCTATGGCATTTGAACTGAATGTACACAAGACTATAATTAATATGCTCCATCAAGATGAAATACTCATGTGAACTAGTTTTTGAGAAATTAAAGGAAATATCTGCTTGTACAACTTTTTGGGAATACCATGTAGTTTACTTCAAAAATATCAAAAATGAAGTACATGTATTTTGTAATATGAAGCTAGAATAATAACATTTAGGTATCATCACATCTGTATTAAGTTCACACACTCACAAAATCGAAAGCCTGCGTCACATGTTTGTGGTGAACAGGCTTGAAAATCTCAAATAAATATACAAAAGCTTGTTACTAGGGGAAAATGTACAAGATTTAATACTTAGTTGTCCAGGTTTGTTTAAAACTGGAGTCAAAGTGGGTTGTATTTAAGACCCCACCGGGACGCTATAAATACTGCACTGTCTTTCTTTCTTTTTTTCAGTTCATTTGTACGCACTTGAACAAAATAAAAAGAGAATCTCTCTGGGTTTAGCGACGCCAGCAGTCCCCCAGAAGTATTAAGGGTGGGCTTAAGCGGAAAATGAGTTCAGCCAAACTTTTCATCCGGATGATGATATACTGTCTTATTTCTCAGACTGCATGTCGCTTTGGGGACAGCCCTTTGTAACAAGGGAACCAGTGGGAGACCGAGACTTGACTAGCGTTTCCCAGACCAAAATTATATCGGCAGGAAATGCACCAGGGGACAAGCAAGTAGGGGGCAAAAATTCAGACCAAAATTTTTGTTGGCGAAAAAAAAAGATTTATGCTTGATGTAATCAACTCACTAGTTGAACTTGAAGTGGGGCAAGTTCTTCGAATTTTTTTTTTTTTTTTTTTTTGTTGGCCGTAAGGTATGAAAATTAATTTCACACCCGAGAGTTGGTCGCTCAGAGCTGGACGAAGTTTCTGGGAATTTAGTCGACATTTATGAGGCAATGTGTTAGTCACAAATCATTCCCCGGGACGGATGTGTGAACAGTCGTAAAATTTGGAAATTGCTGAACAGAAAAGGTTCAACAGATGAAAGTTAAAACTAGAACAGCCTTTTTGGTTGTTTAACTTCTGAACTTCATTGTTCATTGAAGACAGAAATAAGTACAATGCTCAATGGTTCTGTTAGTACTTAGTTTTAATTCTAACAAACAAAACCCTGAAACTAACTCCTTCCGACTGTAATTTCACTCCAATTTCCCGGGACCCACCACCGTTATTTTCCAAAGTCCCAAACTTTCAAAGGGAGTCCTTTGCGCAACAAAGCATGCCGTATTGCAAGGCAATCCTTTCCAATTTGAACTGCCTGCTCTTTGCCTTGATCTTGGGGCTATAGGTTTTCATTAGCAATAGCTTCTCATTATACCTCTGCCGTAACATCCGATATTCCCGCGTTTACTGCTCCACATTTTTTTCCCCTGAACCCCTTTTCGGAAATTGAGCAGGAAAATAGAAAAATAACTCCAGTTGGGCAGCAATCAACCCGGAGTTAATGCAGTTCAGGAATAGTAAAGCCCCATGGGTACGTTGGGCAAATTCAAAATTGTTTTGTGCCAACTCACTACAGTTTGTTTTCCTGCATTAAATTTTGCTTGTTGTTTCCCGCATTGGAGTTGTTTGTCCCATCTTTTGATGCAATTCCATTTTTCAAATAAAAGAAAACATTTATTAAAGTTGCGTTCTCTGTGTTCTTCAACAAATTTTTTTTTCTTCTATTAATAACTTTACAATTTGTATGTTTTATTCCAATAAGAAAAACCTCTTTTTCCTTTTTGGACGCCTGCAAACGTCTGAAAAAAGAGTTTTGTTTAAATAACAGAAACTTATTAAAGTTGCATTCTCTGTGTTCTTCAACAAATTCTTTCCTTTTTTTCTATTAATAACATTTCAATTTGTATGTTTTTTTCCAATAAACCCTCTTTTTCCTTTTTTGACGTCTGCAAACTTCTGAAAAAGAGTTTTGTTTTGGGCACAAACAGATCCACTTTGCAAGCAGACTGGTTCCCGGTCCATACCGGTACATTATTGATACCGATTTTGGGGCAGGAACCAGCCCACCCTGCGAGAATGGGAATTAGTATCTGGCAGCCAATAATTTGAAATTGAAGGTACATGTAATAATTCAATAACTAAACATGGGACTTTTTTTTTGTGGTCGATGTCTCATTCAAAAGTGAATAACTTTTGTAATTGCTAGCAAAATACATGTAGCAATTTTGAAAAGGAATCTATTTTTCGGGATGAATAGCAAGGGGTGTTGCTCTTGTAATGCACAACAAAGGTGCTACTCATTATTATGAGTATGAAATTTATAAACCATTCTGTACGTACTGGCACATGTACATGTATGGATGTATGTGTATGTTGAGATGGTGAAGTTCTAGAATTTTTATGTGTACCTTTGAAAATTACTGATTCCCCAGGGGCAGATCCAAGAATTTGTGGGGGTTCAGGCCCGTCAGATTGATTTAAAATTTAGTTTGTGTGTCAGAGCAGGGGGGGGGGGGGGGTTTGCTCAGTAATTTACATACTACGGTATATCAGCTTTATACATGTAACAAAATGGAATGTGAACCCACAACCTCAGTGAAACTAGTGCAGATGTCTCAGCCACTTAACCACAAATGTCAAGAGCCTCTTATTCCAACAAGATTACAAATACATGTAACATTCTCAAAAACTCTTTTTGCATATTAAAGTCAACATTTTTCCATTTCATCAATGTCAGAATAAGTTCCATGAAAATAGGAACGTTCAAGTTTGCTTCGGAATTGCGTCTGAAATGATCAGTAAACGGAACAACAAACATTCAGTACACCTAAAAGTTGTCCTACCAAATTACCCGAACTAACAGCATTGAAGTCATTTTCTTAAATCACCCTGCACAAATCCCTGTACTCATGGTACTCAAGTTTTTTTTATCCGGTTGGATCAATGCCTCAGAGGGTCAGAAGACGGGAAAATGAAAACAGCCTGTGCAGGTCAAACGAGGTCAAGTGTGCTCATGGCAGTTAATTTGGTGCGATGAAAGAAATCGTCCTCCACTCTTGAGGGTATTTTTTCCCCTTTTTTCTACCAACACCAGATTGTGTTGGCTCCCCTCTGTAAAGCGAATGGCGCCTTTTCTGTATTCCCCTCGGTGAAAAACCTGCTAAATAGGAGTCTCTGATAAACAACGAATCGGAGGGGGGAAAATGGAGACTTGACTTTTTTGTTTGGAGGGGAATATGTGGGTTTTTCACGTACAGATTTTGAATAAGATTGTCTGTTGCGATAAGATCGTGAAAGATAGCGGCACGCACAATGACAACACATGCCTATGTCGTCGTGAGATTGTTATCGTGAACATTCCCAGAGGGAAGAAATGTCAACAAGGACTGCAAGCTTGCATGCTCACTTTATTTTCAACTTCTGGTTTTTGGGTTTACCAATTTTAATCCCCTTTTCTACCCATACTCAACTAGGATTCTGAGGATTTCTTTTGTTAAAGTGACGCCGTTTATTTGGGCAGGGCGTCAACACGCTAGGACTGTGATGAATTTGTCTTGACATGTAGCTCAAAAATGAGGTTTTTATATAGTTTGGTTGACCTTGTTTTTTTTTTGCTTGAAATATTTCAGATGATTATCAAGGGTACTTAATATTTTGCACAATAATTGAAACTAGGGCAACAGACAGGTGTGGCAATGGGAGAATATCAGATTAATAGCAACCAGTCCTTCACAGCTTTCCAAAGTCTTGTCAACTCAACGGTGCTTAATTTTTTTTGCAAATAAATCAGAAATAGGACAAATAAACATGTTCCAATTTTAACCCTAACCTACCTAAATCTTGCAAAATCCTCTTTGCAAAATGGAGGATTTTGCAGGATTGTCATGAGGCCACATGGCAAAAGTGTGTTTCTGATTTCTTAGGATGCACTGTGTCAAGGTCTTGGGCCGGACCTTGTGTTGTTTATGCTCAGCCGTGCATAAATTTAGGCCTATATTATACTTGACATCCTCCGCACTGCTCCAGGATGTCACTGGCTCTGCCTCAACATATTGACAGTGATTGCTGGAGGATTGTGCAGGATTGAGGCAGTGGTCAGCCCTCCAAGGACCACATTCAAGAAATAACAGAGGATTTTGCAGGATTGAGACTGTATGCTATTTTTACATTGAGGCAGTTGGAGGATTTTGCAGGATTGAGGCTACATCCTAGGAGGATTTTGCTGGATTGAGGTTACATCCTAACAAAAATACCTAGGGAGATAGGATCAAGGATGTGACGTTTACACGTTTAAACGAAACAAATCCTAAATCGGTTTACAACTTTTTCAAAACGTTTAAACCAAACCTACAGTTTTAAAAAAGGGACCTACTGGTACGTTTACGCAATCTTTCTTCCTTAAACATCCATAGTACAGATAATTAACAATATTTTCAAACCTACTAAATCAACAAAACTTAGAAGCAACGCAGTACTTGATTACATTTGGGGTATGTACTGGTAAGTCTTTGTAACTCTTTGTTGATTTATCATGTCAGTCATGCCAGTGTACAGACATACATGTACATGTAATGGGCAGGTGTATGTGAAATGGCTTAATGTTTAAACGGTATTCAAAACATTTGCTAAACGTTAACAAAAGTAAATGCAAAGTTAATTCGGTAATGGGGTGGCTGAGCAGAAGATCATGCTTGGCAAATTTTGTGTGGTTAGCAAAAAAAGAGCGGAGAACCTGTTACAACAATATCCATCACATGACACTTTGGCTCGTAACCGGTTTCTGCCAAGCAAGTAATCTATGTGCTTAGCATATTTCAGTGCTAAGCAGCTCTGTGAAATTGGCCACTAAGCATATGGATGCTCCACAAATGTGATGCGATCAAACTACTGAGTTGTTTGTCAGGAACTTTCATTTGGAGATTCAGGCCAAAATAGGGCCACGTCATCACATCACTTCATCACATCTCTTGGTGTTCTGACTTCCATAATTTTTGGACTAAAGATGGTACCAGCATGCAGTTTTTCACAGCCGTAATACTGAGATTGTGCTCTTTTCAAATCTGTTTAAAAAAAAAAATTGACCAGGGTCGACAAATGACTCATTTAGCTTGATCTCATCACAAATTGGCTATAGTCTGAACCTATGTTTTGCATTTTCACTACTGATCAAATTTCAGCGTACATGTACATGTGGTTATGCAAATTTCAATCCTCCAATTTTTCAGTGCTATTCAGGCCCTGCTAACGTTTTTTTTTCTTCATAAAATAATGTTTCAAAATATAATACGGTATTACCAATCAAATGGTTTTGTTGGTTTTCATTAATTCCCCACAGTGGAGCTTCAGTAGATGTTCAAGCATTCACCGTGGAGTTTGAGATTGAGAACACAACGTCGAGCTCTCGTCTGGTCAACTGGCGCATTGACTACGAGCAGGAGCAGCACACGACCACTGTCGTCACAACCATACCGGTGGCCTCCACTTCTGGGCAGTCCATTATTCCTGTTGTTTGGGTAAATTCTTGAAATGTTCATCTCCATTTTCTTGTTCATGTGTTGTTTTCCGGTGTTGTTCTAGACAGAGAATGTCAGGCAGGGGTACGTGTGTTCAAACTGCATTTCCAAAGTTGCACTGAACAAAATGTATTCCCTAATATTTGAAAATTAAAGTTTGATGTTCAAAACATTTTGGTGCGACTACCGGTTCGTCAGAAGATTGACTGTTGCGGTCGTTCACAACAACTGCAGGGTCGAGTGAATAGAACATGTGCATGATGTCTTTGGGTAACTTTTGGTTGGGTAAGTCCCAACGGGTAACCGACTCGACTCGACTTGAGTCAAGTCCCAAAGGGTAACTGACTCGACTCAACTCGAGTCCCTCATCAAAAGACAAGACTCAATTCGAGTCACAATTGTTGGCGACTCAACTCAACTGAAGTCTCATTGGGTAACTGACTCGACTTGACTCGAGTCACTGCGACTAAATGACTTGACTCAACTCGAGTCCCTCATCAAAAGACTTGACTCAACTTGTCTTATCCTAACACTCGAGTCCCAAAATATATTACGTTTGTGATGACTTGCCTTTGTTTACTTTGCGTTACTGTCAAGTTGTGGCCGCTTATCGCGTTCAAAATATACGCCATATCACGGAGTCCCACCTCGTTGTTTTATCACGTAGTTCACAAACTACTATCCTGGAAGCAGACTTTAAACGCATATCCCAATACTTGTGTGATTTCTTAAGCCCTTAATGGAACTCCTGCTTTAGAAAATTAATCAGATATATTTCTACATGAATATAACCAGAAATAGTTTCGCGTACACTTTGCAATTTGGTTTTGACATTGCCAGCGTATAAATTGTTCCAGACTCGAAGCCAAACAAGAGATAAAAACGAAGTTTCACTTCAGGTTAACTACGTAGATCTTTACTAGATCTTTCATGTTCCTTCTTCCTTCTGTAATTTATTTTTAAAAAAATTTTACACAGTGACTCAAATTGACTCGAGCATAAATTTGACGCGACTTGACTCGACCACACACTGTGACTCACCTCGACTTGACTTGATTTTCTTGACCTAATGATTCGACTCCACTCGAGTCACTTCCTTAAAATGACTCGACTCGACCCGAGTCACAAAATTCAGTGACTCGTTACAAGCCTGGAATGAAGAGAAATAAAATACATCCTGCAAACAGCACTTGTAGTTGGAAAATCCCAAGATTAAGTCGATTTAACATTGGGGATGGGCCGTCCTTATTTTTTTTATTTTTTTCGCTGACATGAAAGTACACGGGAGATGGTTTTGGACAAGCCACTGTCTCACCAATGCCTGTCGTCCCTGCCTGCACTGACTGGGAACCATACCAAATACTGACATTTCACAATACCCAGAATTCCTGCTTCAACGACTTGATAAGCTGTTTCAAGGCTGCGCCGGCACCGCAAATAGAATCCTGCCTCAAAACTGGAATCCTCCCTGGTGCCAGAATGTTATCAGTTGCAGGCCTGTGACGAACAAGTGTTGAAAAGACTGTCTGGCGATTTGTAATTCTCTTTGATATTTTTTTATTTTGGTATTACATGTACCTTACCAGGTGTTAGCTAATGACCGTCACCGTCTTAGACTCTGACACACCCTGATTAGGGCCCTGGTCAAAACGGACATTGTTGTCTCTGGCTACGACTGTTTGCTGCGATACACCAGTGGCAAAACCCATAGCCGTGCGTACATGTACAAATACCTGATACCTTATCTGCTACACTTGTCTTAGTTTCTAGGCTATTGAAACTTTCGGACACCTCTTATTTTTCGGCTACCATATCCCAACAAGTGTCTGTATCAGCCTAAAGTACTGGTGGCCAGATCTGAAATTTTTTTTTTTTTGCATTTGTAGTGGCCATTTGTACATAAGCATGGCCACTACAAAAGGCTACAGGTTTTCATCCTTCAACTGTTTTTTTCTTCAATTTCAACAAAACAGTTAAAGGTATTGAGCTTCTACAAAGGAGATTGAACCATTGTGTTTGTATAAAATTTGAGCCTCTGAAAAACAGCAACAACCTATTTTGTCTCATTTTGGTAAACGTTTTGATCAAGCCCTGGCTTTGCCTTTGCTGAAAGTTCCAGAGTTGCGATTCCATGCAACGAGCTAACCGCCTTCTCAGGATTGTGATCGCTATTCAAGTTTGAATTTCTTCGGCCACCAACAGATTCAGGCATTCAGCACTGCACCACAGGTGTTGAGCGTTAGTAAGCGCGACTCTCTGAAGAATTACATGTAACTTTCAAATGTCCGTCCTTCCAACCTCCCTTCCTTCGTCCCCCTTCCACCCCAAACCCGCCCTCAATTTGGAGCCTCTGTGTCTATCAGCCCCACCGCTAACACCTGTCTTTGATCCGCACGAACAGTCGTCACCAGAACTTGTCCCGACTGATTCATCTGGTTTGCTAAACCTACCTGGAGCGCCGCGGCGCCGCCATTAATTACCGTGTTGCCAGTGCGTCGTGCGGGGAAGCGTGACATTGCGCTTTTCCGGATCCAACAATGGGTTGCGGCACTGGGGCTCAGTGTCATGAGGCTGCCAGGCACAGAAGTTTGCTTTGCAGAGAAAACTATTTGTTTAGCAAAAACAGGTCATAGCAGTCAAAATGTCACAATGTTCCTTGTGACTGGTTTACAGATGATTTGTGCTTAGCATGAAAAATTTGCTAAGCTGTGTTTACAGATTAACTTTTTTCTGAAACTGTGGCAAGGATCTGCTCTATGTCTGGAAATACGTGTACTATGAAAGTTAAAAGATTTGTTTCATCTGTCAACTCATGATCTCAGAACAACTGCAGTTCAGTGTTACTCATTTGAAATGAAAGTAAATTTCACTGACGTCAGATACTTTAATAGGAAATTACTCAAAAAAATTGATGACTTCCGGTCTTGATGGTAACAGGCCAACATTAACTTTAGGGTGGTCAGCTTGCAGGCTACAATATTCGTCGAAATGTTTCACTTCTAATCTGGCCAGGGTTTGAAAGAAAGCCAGAATTTGTCAAAACCATTTTGTACTTTTTCAAAGTCTTAGGGGCCATTCAATACGATCGATGTGTTTAAATTTCAATTGGGGGGGGGGGGGGCAAATAACTTTGGTGGGTGGGTCAGGGGGAAAAAAGTTCGAAATTGAAAAACATTGATAATTTTGAATGGCCCCTCAATGGCACATTGGGTGAGGATTGCAAATGATTTGCATATCATTTGCTCTTGTCATTGAAAAAAAAGACTTGAACATTTTCTAGATTTTGTTGATTGTCAAAATTAATTACTGGTATATAAAGTCTGCGTCGACCAAAAACCTTTCTTTCTCAAATTTTGTGTATATTTCTTGGAAAGTCTCTACATGTACCTTGCTTTTTTTTTACAAGAAATTATCAAAGCGGATATATCACCAAACTTTAGGACACAACTTTGCTGTACATGTTTATTACATGTATTTACATTGAGCGTATGTGGTTTATCAGCAATACACATGTACAATGTAGCTGTGTAACATACCAGTATGTGGTGGAGAGTAAATTTGTATTACGTGCATGCACAAAAAAAAGACAACTTTAGGCCAAAAAAAAAATCTCCGGTTTCTGGTACGCGCGCGCGTACTACAGATTTGAAAAAGTTTTTTTTTCAATGAAAGATGATGTCTCAAAACCGCCAAACTCACTGGTTTGACTGGAATCCTGCTGCTGCACAATTTCAACGTGTTTTTAGATGGGGTTATGATCGAGAATAAGCTTTATGTGGCCTCTCTGGACTCCCATATATTGGCACTAAGTTTAGTCGGGCACCATTTGCAGTCATCAGCCGACATTTGAAGCAAAAAAGTCGGTTAAAAAAAAAAAAGCTGCTTCGCCGCACCACTTTTTGGACAAGCTCCATACCAGAAACCGGAGACTTTTTTTTTTGGCCTTAAGAATATCGATCAAAAAAGACACTATGAAATGTATTTGTTTTAATGTACTCTGTGTGTTTTAGTGTTGTGCATTTACGCGTAGTACATGTACGGGAACCGGGTACCCTATTGGAGTAAAACACGGGTACCCGAGTTCCCGTAAAAGAAACTTAACCCCAAAATTCACATCCTAGAAGTGTCTGAAGGGCTTTATAACTTTACAGTGTAAACTGCAACTTTCATGAACGTCATCTGTTGCATGTTATAATGCACATACATATAAACGTTAAATCTGTTTTGATTTTCCATGTCACCTGTTTTCATTTTGAAAATTCCACAAAAGGCATTCAAAACCTTTCTTTTTCATTGTCTGAGAAGTAACGAATTTGTAAAAGTTGGTTACGGGTACCCGATCCTGTAATCTGGAAGCAGTTCCTGATATCGGCGGTCGGGTACTGGGGTACCCGGTCCCAATGCACGCCCCTAGTGTGTTTCAAAATTCCCCAAGGATTTCCTCAGTTAACAAATGGAGCCTGTGAAATTCTGGCTGCGGGTAACGATCTTAAAATAGGCTTTATGCCATGTTAAATGGATCGTTTCTCAGTCTTTGGCATAATAGCCCGTTTCCTGTTTCGCTGTTGTACAGGCGGATGACGTCGTCAACACAGCCGTTCTGAACAGGCAGAGGGTGTCGCTACCCATGAGCGTTGTCACGGTGACACAATCGGGACAGGTGCAGAACATAACGGCCTCTGCGCAGTGCACCAGTCTGGATCCTGACGTTCTCAAGGTATTATATGTGGTTACAAAATACGGGTTTGGAGTGCTGCTGTCTTGCTAGGGCTCTGACCACCGTGGTTCAGAATCCTAGCATTTTCAAAAATCTTGATTCTGTCTACAGCTTCAGCTTAAAGAATAATTCATAAATACCTAAGATAGCCATTCCTATTGGTCGACAGCCGTCACGTGGCCGGTCTTAAATGGATGATAAAGACATGGCTAGCTGGTCTTAAACACTTTTCCAGCGTCACATGAAATTTGGACTCCCATGAAATCCAGTGCCTTTTAAGTGCGTTTCATTGGTTGAACGTTCACATTCCTCACGTATGCATGCGCAATACTACCAGTGAATCAGTATTTCATGGTCCGAAATTCACACTACACCAGCCCAGCTGCGTTTTGCGCGACATCGCACAGTACACACGACGTACACGCGACGTTACCTTGAAGGTAACAAGTTTTGGAGGGGCATTCCACATTATAGTCAGAGGGGTGTTTTTTTTTAAAACATGAATTAAAATTGTTGAACAAAATGGTTGGCAACGTCTAGTTTTTGACTTGTTGTGAGTTTTGGACCGAAAAGCTAAGGTTTTTTGACCGAAAAGGTATTTATGAATGGGAATAAATATGGGTTCAGTCTGTATAAATGCTCTGTTTAAGACTGTAGGGAGTCTGGATGGGTGATAATTACCCATCCAGACTCCAACCGGTCTTAAACAGAGTGTTATAATACCTCCCGAACACACATTTATTCCCTTATTAATTAGTTATACGTGTAATTCTAAAACCCTTTAAGTGAAATTTCTGGGGTATGTTCTTCTTAAATTGTTCTATGCATGTACCGAGTTTCACAATTTTTCGTCACTCGATGACCAAGGGAGGAGGGGGCCTGGTCAATTAAAAAAAAAAATTATCTTGTAGAGAGGTGGTGAAATCATAAATGCTGCCCTCTTGTGGCCAATACTGGTAATGCAGCTATTTTTTAGAAAGTAAATTCATTGTAGGAGAAAATTCACAGCTTAGATGTATATTCGGCAGTTTATTTTATTTTTTTAAGTGAAAGACCTTTAAATGGTCCATTTAAAGTTATTTTTTCATGCACATATTGTATCTAGCAAACCGAAACCATTCTCCGTCAACAGGTCATAAAACCCCTTTTCCAATTGTAGAGCAAGGCCACAAATTGTTAACAAAATGGCCATCTGTCCTTCAGCGTTAAATTAGCTTGCAACTGGGCCAGCATTTCTGAATTTTAATGGTGTAGCATACGGTGAAATAACTCCAGTTTTTTAATCACTTGAGTCGTAAAAAAAAAATTATCCAAAGAATTTTTCATGGGATGTTATTCCAAATTGGCAATTTCACAGTTAATGGTGTCGGAAGTTATCCAATTTGTTGGGGGGAGAGAACTGCTCTCTTTGTTTGATATTTGCTGGTCGGTAAAGCCTTGATGTATCAAAAGAGGCGAATTTCAAAAGTAATTATCTTAAAACTCCACGAAATGTTTATGATTCGAGTGGTGAAAACAAGCTAGTCCAATCTTTTCATGATGCTTACAAGTGTTGGTTTGACATAATTGTCTATTTTCTGGTCAACCCCCCCCCCCCCCAAAAAAAAAAACGGGGGGGGGGGATTAATTCAAAAATTTAACAACTTAAATTGATATTTGAATCATTTATTTTATTTATACAAGTTTTAATACTAGTTGTAGCAGGACTTGTTTTGAAAATGTTGTACAAAACGTGAACGTTATTTGAAGTTATAATGAACTGCAACTTTCACCCCAAAATCACATTGAAAAATCATACCTCTCTTTTCTTCATCCTTTCCCAGAATCTCAACACATTTATCTGCTGAAAAGATATGAAAACATCCATTATCTGCTTTCAATGGAAATGCCGTTAAACATTTTAGTTTCTTATATTCCAGAAGTTTGTAAATTCCACTGGATATTTCCTTGTGGTCTTTATTAACCCTAACGGAACTCAACCCATCAAACCCCAGCGGCATCTTTTGTTGGAATCTGTCTGGATGGGTACAGTACCCCTAAACTGACAGTCTTTTACATTGGGTTGGGCACACCTCCAGAAACAAAGACAGAAATACTTGTGTGCAGTTTCCCATATGGTGTTGGAATTTGCAAGGATGTGTATGGTTCCTAGTAAATCATGCAAGGGAGTTAAGGTTAAAGGCACTATCAGACTGTTGATTTTTTTTTACCAAACATTAAGGAGTGTTCCTTTGTGGTAAATTGTTTTTCTTACCTCATGTGGAATTTTTTGCCAGAATCAAATTATTTTGGTAAAAAAATCATGACAGCTGAAATTTTCCTGAAGTTTTAATTACCTCAATAACTTGAGCAAGGCATTTAAAAAAAATTTTGTGAGAATGGAGGCTGAACTTTTTTAACCACAGGTCAAGCAAGACTGCAGTGCAATCTACGTGGACGGGACCGAAACGAGCGGCGCCCTCGGGAAGAAGATTCGCGTGTCGTTCGCTGGGCGGGAGGTGTACAGGGCATTCAATGTCTGGTACCCTGAGTTCCCACTGGAGGTGGTGCTGTCTGATCCCAAACTTAGCCTGATCAGAGGCTGGAAGATCCCGACTACTAATGATCGGTGAGTTGACAGAATTTCAGAACTATATATTCAGTTACTAAATGAGCATCGACTTATTATGTAAATTTTAATATTGGAATAAGCCAACTCAAATATGCTTTTGAATTATGATTTTCTTTTGCTCTTGGAAGGCACTGAGCAGAGAGTGCTAAGGCCCCCCCCCAAAAGTCTCTGGTTTCTGGTATGCGCGCGCGTCGCCGTAGCCATGTGTGTTGGCAAAATGAATTTTTTTTTTTTTTTCAATGTAAGATGATTTCTCAAAACTGCCAAACTCACTGGTTTGACTGGAATCCTGCTGGTGCTCAATTTTAATGTGTTTTTAGATGGGATTACGATCGAGTATAAGCTTTATGTGGCCTCTCTGGACTCCCATATATTTTGCACTAAATTTAGTCTGGCACCATTTGCAGTCATGAGCCGACATTTGAAGAAGAAAAAAAAGTAAAAAAAAAAAAAAATGGGGCAAGCTCCATACCAGAAACCGGAGACTTTTTTTTTTGGCCTAAGTTCATTTGTGAAGAGCAATAGGTTTTTACCTGTTTGTAATAGTGCGAGGAACGGTAGCACAATCTGCATAGACTAATCCAGCAATCACAATAACTCTAATGGCGCTGTGCTCACTAGCATACAGTCCACCTGACCATGTGATTTAAACAAACTTATTGGTTGAATTAACAATGAGCACGGGCATACCACCTGTGCATGAACATGGTGCAACCGCAGTAATGGCTTCAAATGTGCATACATACATGCTTGAACAGCGCCCCCTAGAGCCAGAGGGAATCTACCCCCTCCCACCCCCATACCCCACCCCTCTCCCCCTTTTTTTAATTTCTCAAACTGTTGGCCCACCCCAATCAGACAAAAACTATTTTTGCTATACATGTATAATTTAACAACAAAATAACAATTTGTATACAACTTTCTTGCTTCAATTTTATAAGTTCGTTTTGGGTTATGATAATGAATATCAGGTCCAGACGGGATACTCAGCAAACCTTGGACTTGGGTGCGGAGACGCTAGGCCTCCTAGGGCCAGGCAACCTGCAGCCTGACACTGGGAGAGACAACACGGCCAAGGGGAAATGTAAACTGAGATATCAACAATCCAAGGTGGATGTGTATACCAGGTTCTACGCTCCGCAAGCTAATACTGGTGAGGAGTCTAGTCCCTTAGGTCATTATAAGTTATCCCATGAGCATGAGTGGAACCCAAAACAATGTAGTGCATCTGGATTCCATATGCCACAAGGCTAAATGGAACAGAGACACGCTACATTTTCTGTGTTCCAAGTGCAAGTGGAAAAATGAAGTTATCTTTAAAGATATAGTCCATCATTTGTAATTTGTGCATTTTGTTCGTTTGAAGCAACAAAAGTGTTCAAAATCTAATGAAGAATACTGAACAACCAACCTGATGAAGATTCAGCTCAGCTTCAGCTGTATATTCCGAGAAAAACAGCATTCTAGGATCTCAATTTCAAATCAAAAGTTGCTGAATCATGTTTTGAATTGTTTTGAATTGCAACTATACGTGATGTCGCGCACTGATCCGACTAATTATAGCAACCGCGCGTGCGTGTGCGTCGTGCCAATGCTTGCGCGCGCTGCGCCGAATAACAAAACGAACTACTAATTTAAATTTTCCTACGGTGGTTCTTAAGAATCACCGTTGGAAATGCCTTCTTTTGTTGATTACTTCAAAATGACAGCTTGCCAGAAAGATTAATTTCACAGGGAGTTTAGTCCCCTTACTATCTTTCAACCAAGTATGTTTTTCAACAATAATTACGCCAGTTACTTTTTCGGATGGCTGCAAATGATGGACTATAGCTTTAAAGGGAATATACATCATTTGCTTTTGCTGTAATTTTCAGAAATGGATGGAATTGGGGGGTTGGAAATATATAGCAAATATAGTTACACTGACTTTTTTGAGGTTTTGGGTTCAAAAATGCTATAAAAACCAAGAAAAACAATCATTTTCCTGTAGTCTGGTTCCCTGACTCCATATAAGAAGAAACAGAGCAGTTTACATACATTGGGGAATTGTAAGGTCAGGGAACCAGTCTAGCTGGCTCGTACCCGTTCATAGGTTTGTAATCGATTGCAAACAAGTGCGATGGTCAATTGGGGCCAGTATTTGGGGAAAAAAAACAGTTTTTTCCAACGCTGATCGGCCGATCAGCGTTGGAAATTGATACAAAAATACCACTTTTCTTGAAAATGACAGTATACCAGGTGCCATGATTTTACAGGATGCTTTACACTGTCATTCACTAACAGTCCAGCAAGGTATTTCAAAATGATTTGGTAGTTTTATTTTTTGATGTTTGCAAATGTTGTATTTTCCCTTTAAGTGGTCTTGACACACAGTAAAGATGGAACAAGCACATTGTAGGAACTTTTTTTGAGCAGTTACATGTATGCTTCATGTATTACGTTTGCCTGTAGCAGGAATACCACGCATATCTTACAATACGTGGAGTGAGAGATGGATTGTGCAATATACATGTAGGATAATATCACATTGCTGTTGCCATGGATCGACCAATCAGGATTACAATTTTGTGGTGAATTTGATAAATAAAACACTTTGTGAAAATGAGGGTGCTTGTTTAGAAGGAGTCACGTCAGAGATACTCTCAATCCAATATCCTCCAAAATTAAGTGCACGAAACTCTTTCAAAAGGAGGTAAGGCCAAAAAAAAAAGTCTCCGGTTTCTGGTATGCGCGCGCGTCGCCGTAGCCATGCGCGTCGGCGAAATGAAAAAGTTTTTTTTTCAATAAAAGATGATGTCTCAAAACCGCCAAACTCACTGGTTTGACTGGAATCCTGCTGCTGCACAATTTTAACGTGTTTTTAGATGGGGTTATGATCGAGAATAAGCTTTATGTGGCCTCTCTAGACTCCCATATATTTGCACTAAGTTTAGTCGGCATGGTCGGGCACCATTTGCAGTCATCAGCCGACATTTGAAGCAAAAAAAACACGGTAAAAAAAAAAAAAAAGCCGCGTCACCGCACCACTTTTTGGGCAAGCTCCATACCAGAAACCGGAGACTTTTTTTTTTTGGCCTAAAGTAAAGTTAAGATAAATGTTCTTAAACAGTGGGTAAATGGTTACTGAAACTTCTGTTATCGGCATCCCTTAATATTTACCAATTAACAGGCGAGTTGCAAGCAGCATATGAAGAAGCATCCCTCACCCTCCCTCCCTCACAAAAAAACCTTCATTTTGAGGAATCAATTGGACAATTGCAAATAGTCATTCCCCCTAAATTTGAAATGTTCTGTGATGTCCTTTGATAATTTGACAGTTCCCCGCGTGACTGGGCACAGACAGTATCTGTACGGAGACGACATACGCCACCAAGTGACCCATCACACCAGACACCAGCTACTCACTGTGGATCCAACCATTGCCCATGTGGAAGGCACAAGGGTCACCGGTCTGGCAGAGGGCATGACCCAAATCCAGGTGAGATTGGCAATGAAAATTTAATAAAAAATAGACATGGGGTACACCAACACCACAGAAATTGTCTATTTCAGGCGTTAACCCTATCCCACCTCAATCCTCCAAAATCCTCCTGGCGGTTTTGGGGGATTTTGGAGGATTGAGGATGAATGGTGTTTGAGAAACATGAGGATTTTGGAGGATTGAGGATGAACGGTGTTTAAAGAGGAGGAGGATTTCTGTGATGGTCTTGTGTTGGTCTTGGGATCATTTTGTGATGGTCGTGCGATGGACTCAACTATAACACTGTCAATTTCATAGAGCTTTTCGATAATTGGTAATTACGCATACTTCCAAAAATTGTTTAAATTCTCACAACTCTCCAAAGTGTTTGATAGCTTATTTCATCATCTTTACTTTTCTGTTCTTTTTTTGGGCGTTAACCGATGACTTTTGGGAGAAAATTCCATCCAAAAATGATCACCCCTAAAAGCAGCCCTGATCCCCATCACCATTTTGAAAATGGATGCCTACACTCCATTCCAAAATGGAGCCTTCTTAGGGCCTAATTTCATCCAAATTTCACAGAAATACGAGCTCGCAGTCCTCTGCACGGCTTCCACCCTTCTTTTTTACAAATCCTCAAGTTCATGTCCCTCAAAATGCTCTAAAAGCTGAAAATTTGAGGGCATACAAATCGTGATTTGGCCCGCGTAGGAAATTCTGGGCCTACAGATCTGCACCCTTTATGGTGCTTATGTATACCGCCCTCTGTAGCCCACTTCATGAAAGTCCACATTTGGTTAATGCCTATATCTCTTTTGCCCTTCGGAAGTTCATTTTATTAAACAGTAATGAGACTTGTCAAGGGTTGAGTGGAGGCGTGCCCTGCTAGGGCGTCCGGGAAAGTTTTTGAAATGTACGATGCTTTCTCCTGCATTGTAAGGCAATTTGAGAATACATTTACGGTAGGAACTTTAGCATTCCATTTATTATTTTTTGGCTCCATTTGAGTATTATAGTATTAGTCAGCGGCTGACAACGAGGGGGGGGGGGGCCCAAACTAGATCTGCCACTGCCAAGTAAAATAATGGTAGCTGGGTTCTACCTTCCCCAATCCTACAGAAACCCCTAAAATATCCTAGTGGATCTGAGTAGGTTTAAAAAGGTTAATCGTTGTAAACTTTTCTTTTAGCATGTTTATCACTTTCTCATTACAAGTCTCCCTTGCAAAACTTGGTCAAAAATTCATTTTCTTTTCTGTTTCCTTACATAGGTTGTTGGTCAAGATGGGCAAGAAGTTCTTGGCGAAGCCACGATCTCAGTGTCAGACAACAAAGTGGAAGTGATTGAACTCCATGTTGGTCTAGTCTCCGGACTCACCATGCAGTCGGTGGCTCTGGGTCCAGAGAATGGAGGCAGAGACAGGAGCCTGACTAGGGTCACCTCACACAAGGCTCTGTTTGCTGAGTTCCAGGTTAGTGAACTTTTTGGCCTTATCTTGAGACAGATTTTAATCCTCAAAGCTGATTGGTCAATCCATAGCAACAGCAGTGTTCTAACCTATGAAGCATGGTTCATATTGTACAGTGTGAATCATGCTCTCTTGTTGTTCACACTTTCTTTTTGTTGTTTTCTTCTTCTTCTTTTTTCTCCACTATTTCGTTGGACTCGGTCAAAATTGTGTGATTTCAGTTTTGAACATGTACCGGTATGCTCCATTGGAGAATATATGAGGAACATCATCATAGGGAGAAAAAGGCAAGAAATGTAACCCAAGATTGAATTGAATTGGATGGAATTGGTTTATTAACCCTAACTCCCTAGCGTCTTGTACTAGGAACTGGACCAATTCCATCAAAATCCATCAATCTCTGTGCGTCTAATACAAAACTGTATATGACATAATGGAATCCACCACTGACACACTGGTTGACATTCATGGACTTGCAACACATGGCTTTTATCACAATAGCAGTACAGGAAGCTAGGCAAAATCAATGGGACACCCCTAGCACTGCTTTAGGCCATTAGGCCCAAGTCCATCATACTCCATCAATATTTAGTCACACCAGGCCTTCTGGACCAAGTCCCCAAAAATCCACCAAAATGGGGGGATGGATTTTGATGGAGTTGGGGTGGTTTGGGTTAATGGTCCCTCACAGCCACAGGCCGAATTGCGGACACATGTACAATAAAAAATATATGTAAATCAATGCATAACTACAAGTGTAAAACAGTTCAATCTCATTATAAAAAATACTTTAAGAATAAAGAAATAATATCACAAAAACAAGCATCCAGAAATATAAATTGAATAATTAACTAAAAGCATTGAATTTATTTAGCAGTTACTGTGCTTAACAGGAATGTGTAATTGTCCTTATCCGAGCCTGTGTGATCTTACCCATAAGTGGGCTTTGAGCTACCAGGCTAACCTGGAAAAAAGACCGCAAGACAATGATGTGACTGTTACTTTTCTGTTACTGAAATCCTATTCTTCCCAAATCTGTGACTCTGCTTTAATTGCTTATGTCACTGTTTTTTAAATGTCTTTGCATCATAGGAAGCTGTCATGGATGCTAGACTAGAGTTTGACGACGGTACAGAAGTGGCTTTACAAGACATTGACACCAAGCATTTTGAGGCCGTCATCACCACCTTGAACCCAGAGATGGTGGCTGAGAGCCCAGGGTCGACACCCCACCACCCGACGGTGATTGCCATCAAAGAGGGCTCCACCACCCTCATGCTGGAAGTCGCGCTGCCGCTGGAATGCCAGCGACGCAAACGCAACAGCGCTGTCGCATTTGACGTCATCCCCGTCAACGTGTCGTTCTCCAACCAGCCCAAGCAGTGGTGGCCGAACGGCATGGATGAGGATGTTCTTGGAAGTGCAGATAACGCAGGAGGACGGATCAAGCTTACACCGGAAGCGGGTCTCGTGGATTACGGCGTCATCCGCGGGGATTACGATCCCAATGATAAGAGACCAAAGCACGGGGGAGGCGGGGGCGGAGGAACAAAATCAGAAGGCGGGATTATATCCATCCCCATCGACATTCCGTTTCCTTACGACCCCATCGACGATACTGATCAAGAAGCTGATACCATTGTGGATGCCTCGGATGATGAAAACAGCGATTATCCATACACGGAGGAATCTCTAAGTCCCTTGGAGATTGGCATGTACGTCGTCTTGGGCATCTTCTGTATTGCCATCTTAGCCTTCATGATCAACTGCGTTCTTTTCATGGCGCGCTACCGCCGTTCCAAGAAGGTCCCGGATCCCCTAGGAGGCACCTATCCGCAAAACTGGGTCATGTTTGGGACGGAGTTTGACGGGAGGACATTACCAGTTTCACACCGTAACGAGGAGAGCATCCCTATGAGGGATTTCCGTGATGACAGTAACCACGGCGATGGCGGCAGCCGGGGGGAGCACACTTGCACCGAGAGCGAGGTGAGCATTGAGCGGCACAGCGTGGAAGATGACGAACGTCATGGAGGATGCCCTGAGGAGGGATCGCGAGACGGGAACAGAATGGCTGCCAGCGAGGATAGCGAGTCCCAATGCCACCACGCCTCCTGCACTGACCTTGACGAACGCGGCTGTTGCGTCATAGCCGAAGGCACAGAGACCGACCCGTTCATTCCATGCCAGTGTCAGTGCCAGTGTCACGAGGAAAACAGTGACAGCATCAACAATGACAGCACAGCTGAAGAGCAGGACAACGAATCAGAGTGTGCCGACAACGAACGGACACCTTTAAACCGCCCAGACCGGTCCCCGGTTCAAAACGATACGCCGTCAGCTGGGGCCTGTTGTGACCTCCCAAGTGGGGGGAGGGACACGGACGCACACAGCGACACACAGGGTGACACACCCAGTGACACTCACTCAGACTCGGAGCTGAGGATAACGATAAATCCGGGGGAGGAGACCGAATCTGTCAACAGCAGCTTGAAATCACAGGAAGATGGGGAGCTAGACCAAGCGTCAGATTACCTTAATAATCAGCCTAGTACCTGCTGATAGACAAGAGATTAGTTTATTTAAAAAAAAAAAACAGCCAATCTCTGTGTTCAATATGTGAACACTTCACCAGTTGGGGCCAATTTCACGGCGCTGCTTAAGCACAAAAAAGTCTGGCTTATATAATAAGCAGGTTATCAGCCAAAACTCCATGTGATTTTCATGCTAAGCAAACAACAGCTGAAAACTAATCACGAGCTGTATACATGTACATCACACGGAGTTTTGGCTGGTAACCTGCTTTTATAAGCCAGACTTTTTTCTAAGCAAAGAGCAGCGCCGTGAAATTGGCCCCAGGTTTGTGTTAAAACCTATTGGCACTTTTGGCAAATCACAAATTCCAACTCGTTTCAATTATTCAGTGCAGCTTCTTTGCAGTGTAAATCAGTTTAATGACCTGTTTTCAAATATTCAGTCAGTCCGATAACAAAATCAGATTTTCAGGTTTTTAGTTTCAATTTCTGCCAGGATTATCCAAGATCTTGCATCAGTTTTTTTATTTGACTACATGGGGCATCTCATTGTTAAACTGTGGCTAATTAGGGGAAAAGGGCGTTTTAGTCCTGCCTGATTTGATAGCTGTTGTGGTTAAGCCTCAGGCACTTATTACCTTTTTATAACAGATGGGAAGCCACTCCCTAGTCCTTAGCTGTGGCCCGAGCCATAGCCAGAGGGGTTAGCCGTGTTCAAACGAACGTCACTGTTTTGCGAACGGTGTATGGCACTATGGTGTGTGGTACGCCATGTTCTAAAAATCTGGTATGCACATTTGTGATGCGATCAAGCTAAATGAGTCGTTTGTCGGGATTTTTCATTTGGAGATACAGGCCAAAATAGGGCCAATTCATCACATCACTTTATCACATCTCTTGGTGTTCCCACTTCCATACTTTTTGAACTAAAGATGGTATCAGCATGCGGTTTTTACAGCAGTAGTGCTGAGATTGTGCTCTTTTCAAATCTGTAATATTTTTTTTTGTTTAACCAGGGTTGACAAACGACTCATGTAGATTGATCGTATCACATTTTCTGTATTGTAGCATTTGACCTTTCAAAAAAGTTACCACATATACAGGATGGTGCAAACGGAAGGAAACCCTTTTTTGACAGCAATTTTCACCTATTTGTTGAGCATATTTCAAGAATTCAATTTAATGGTATTAAAATATTGATCTTTAAACATAAGTGACGAAAAAAATGATTGCAAATGCATATTTTGTCTCTGAGATATGGTAGTTTAAAAATGTCATGTGCCAAACCTGTTTGTCCACGGACGGCTTTATTCCATCCGCTTGACTGAGCTCCAGAGCTTGATTTGAAGACAAAAACACTACACTAGACTTTATACACTGTCACATGGACAACAGTGATTTTGGTGACTTCAAATTAGCATAATCACACTATTCTTGCGATTTTTGTTAAAGATTTTTTTTCACCATGTACATGTATGGTTGAAAAGCTATACTGCACTACATTGCAAAAAAAAAAGCCCAAATATTAAAGATAAGTAAGTAGGTTAAAATTCTCGTCAAAAGTGGGTTTCCTTCTTTTTGCACCAACCTGTAGTGTCGATTTAACACTATTTTTAAACATGTTTTGGCATTTCCTTATAAAGTGACAAGGCAGAATGTCTTTTGAAACTTTCTCAAATGCTGACTTTCAATGACATCATTATTTTAAAAAAAAATCACCTTAATGTCCACAAGAAGTATTCCAATCCCGATTTCAGGTTTTTACGCTGTATCCAATGAGTATTTGTCACAACTGTATTAAACCAGTATTAAAATCAATCTGTATTTAAGTAATACTGTACAAAAGTAAATAGTGTAAAATAAATGTACATATTTATTATTATATAAAAAAGAAGTCATATATTATGAGATTTTAACCAATTTTAATCGAGGAAAGGATGAGAAACAAAGCATTTTAATATTTTTAAACTTAGTGTAAATTGTAGTATTCAAAATCATCAGAAAAATTTAGAGATTTTTTTTTTTTATTCTACCCAGCTTTTTTTTTTATGGTGCTGAGTGTGAGAGTATATCTCGCCATGTTTCCCTGTCAAGAATCGTTCTCCTAATTGAGAGATTTGAAAATTTGTCCACATTTAATTGATTTGATTTTTTCTCACCCATTTTTTTCCCTCCAAATTTGATAGAATTTACCGGTTTAACTTTTGCCAATTTGGGATTGGTTTTTGTATCAAATCAAGTTATTACCAGTAAGTCATGTAAATTCTGTGATTTATTTATTTATACAAAAAGTGGAGTAACAACAACAAGTATTAAAATCACATAATTTCTCTGACCGTAACAATACAATGCCTTTGTTGGTTGAATTCTGCTTTCATATAAATTTTCCTTGTTATCAATATCTGCTTTGAATTCCAAATCCTGAATTTTCAAATTTAAAATGTCACATTAAATTTTACACCCCCCCCCTCCCCAATGCATTATTTATTAATCCTGTTTCTAAATATCCTACAGCCCACTAACTTCAAGGTTTAAAATTTTAAAGAATGATTGTGATTTCTTGCCATCCAAGTTTTGGGCCAAGTCTGTAATGTATGCATTAAATTCTCCCCTTTCTTTTTATCAAACCATGTTGTACAAAATGCCAAGTCGATTGTACAATAAATCTCCGGTGTGTAGTTTTTGTACTATGGAGGCGAATGTTTGTTTATGTATTCTGTGTTTTCTGTGGACATCTCTGGCATACGTGAATAAACAGAAAAAAATATGATTCGATGGTTATTGAATTGTTCTTGCCGGCTATTGTTTATTTTTGTGATGATTGTTTATTATTATTTTATGTCTGACATAAGCCTTTAATTAGGTTGATGGCAATTTCAGTTTCATTGCGCATATTTGATTTTCGAAAAGTGCAGGTATGTACAATTCAAGGTTGAGTGAGATGGCGATAAAAGTTGCACTTTCACTGCACTTTTTCCCGATTGTGATTTCGGTACCGCAAGAGGGCGCTAGAACAATTTCAAATGCAGATGAAATCGAAGGAAATTGAGTTCTAGAGAGATAAGGTTGAGGAAAATAATTGCTTCCTGTTATTAATTATCGGAAAACTTGAAGCTTTAGAAGAAAAAAGACTGACTGGAATCGCGATCCTGAAGTAAATCCTTGTTTAACTTTTTTAAACAAACAAAAACTTACTGCACTGATAATTGTTCAGCTATCAGCTACCAATCGTTTATGCGGAAGCTACGAAGTACGATGCCTGTCTGGTTCACGTTTTGGTTGTATTAGAATCAATATTTCATTTCGAAACCCCAAAACATGATGTAGTGACCTAGTCATTCATGTAATTACTCATTCGAACAAAAGAGTGCATTTTCAGAAGTCGAATCCTATAGCCAGGCATGAGATTTTTCAGACTTTTGTCTGAATTCAGACTATTTGAATCTGAGAGAAAGGCATTATCCGAGTATAGAAAAATATGCATCTTTGAGACTTTTCATTCAAGTTTCAGACGTGTTTTTTTTTTAATTTGACAAACTCATCCCTGTATAGCTGACTAGAACTGAGACCCAAAATGGTTTAATTGGCACCGCCAGAATAGTAAAATAAGTTGGTTTCCCCTTTAATGGACAATGGACAAACTATATATTACTTGTTTATTCATGTACAGAAAGCAATACTAGTTATGAATTTTGCCCCTTTTGTAGAATGCGATTACAGTGTATATCGCGTGATTGATTTTACAATAACAAGTAGTCTTTTGTTAAAATGTTTGATTTGTCATTGCTATAACAGGTGCGTTAAAAAAATACATTTTTGAGGTGCGAGTTGTTTTAAATTTCGGGAATGATGGAGGAAATGAAACGGCACCTTTGTGTGGGTCAGCAGTGACGGTGTGGTATAGCAATCACAGAAAACTACAATTCATCTTTGTACTTTCGTTCAGGAAACGGCCAATTAGCAAGGCTGGGAAATATCTGCGCAGTCACATGACACAGACAGCGCGCTATGAGTATTGTCCGGCAGATATTGTCATTGGTAAGGATACAAATCGCCACACTTTTTTTGCATTGTTAACTGTTCGCGGAACAGCTGGTGTCCCGGATTTCACGCTGATGGCGGAAACTGATCGCTTTATTATCGGCATCGATCTGCTCGGGTTTTTGTTTTTGCGGTCGATCAAAAGTGCACGTGAAGATACCAGCTCATTAGCATAAAATTACCATAAAATGAAGCTGTGTGCTTAAAGGGGCTCACTAAAGTAATAACTCTAATAATTATTAACAGAAGCACGTCTTAACATGTAAATCCAACACGACAGGACAAGGCTATAATAAAGCTGGGCCTAGGGAGCACAGAAGGTAATTCAACTGATTCAAAAAGACTGTCATTAAAAATCCACAAATCGCTGTGACTTGACTTAATTATCGCCTACGCATTTATCATGAAAGTTCATCGGAACCACACGGCGCCAGAATAATGCACAATGTAGACGGAGAAGATGTTAGTTACAAGACATACAATGTGTGTACCAGTGAATAGACAAGCCCGTCGAGAAGCTGGTACCAGTCTAGCCACAAGTTCCAATGAACACTTTACCTTACTTTCGATTTAATATGGCCGACTCGTGAGACCAGCATAAATACGACATTCTAAGATGTGGGTTAAGTTATATAATTAACGTGTTGTAATTATGCAAAATAAAGGTAAAGGGAATATGACACGCAATAATAACTGTCTTATATTACTAATGGAAATTGCGTTGAAAAGACAGTTTCATAACTGTTTTCTTTTCTTCCAAAAAGTACAGTCCATGAAACAAAATTACAAAAACATTACAACAAGTAATTTGAATTTATGCAATCATTTAGCGCGGTTTTCCCAACCATAATATAAATCTCCTGTTTTGTGTTTGATATATCTTCGAAGATCAATTAAACATAAATTATATAATAATGAAATAATAATACAGTCGTCTTGCTCATTCAATAGACCAAGTATTTTGTTAACCATGTTGCTCCTTTAAGCACCAGGCCAGCATCTATTTATAGCTCGCCACGCGAGAGTGAACCAACCGCCTTTGTTTGGTCGCATGCGGGCTGAACGTGTACGTGTGTATTTTCGTCCGGTCTCTCGAAGTATAAACACAAGCACGTGGCACACGAGCGCATTCAAACTGCGCAGACAGTTTGCTAAACTTAGCTCACCATTTCTCGCACATAAAGGACTCTTTGGCCGTTGTGAAACACTGCAGTTGAAAAGAAATAGTCTACCAGTGGATTTCTATCAGGATTTGGTCAAAAATTTGAAACACCGGAGATGTGGAGTGCTTTTTTTATGATTTCGTGAAGTGTCGTCTGCTCCGATGTCAGTGTAGTAGAACACAGTGAGCACTACATGTGTACGTGTATGCATTGTGTGTAATATTAATATCCAACCTTTTTTGTGAGTGAAGGCATTGCTATTTCATCTGGACGCACATTTTGAGTAAACTGCTGCAATTTCTTGAGGAAAAAGTCATACAATCTGCTGCGGCCCACTCTCAGTGGTATTTTGCTCCGGTGACGAATCTACCATTATAAGACTAGAGATCTCAAACTTGTCTTGGACGATTGTTGAAGGCACCGAAGATGGTTTTCATCCCACTACAGCGGTCCATCCTGAAAATAAGACAGGTAAGATTTTTTTTTATATTTTAAAAACTATAAAAAAAAAATTATGAAAAGGGAACTTAATTATGTAATCAGTCATAAACGTTTCGGGAAAAAAACTCTTTATGTTGTTGTTGGGTTTTTTTTTTACAAATTATCTTAATTGATGTAGGCCTACTGAGCCTGGCTTTATGCAAGCCGTGCCCTGCCATTGCTTAAATTTACGAGGTATACTTTTTGTCGTGTTTGTATCTGTGTTTGCATGGAAATTATAAAAAATAAAATCACTATGGGTCAACTTCGAGGAAAGTAAATACATATAATGGTATTGCACTTTGAAAGTTCGCTTAGATTCATTGTTCAAATTTGGAATGAACGGTGACTGATAAGTGCATGGTTCGGCTTGAGTAACCGAGTGAAATGGAATTTTATTTGAGGTTCTGTGGTATAATCCAGCACTTTTGTTGTTAAAAAATTGCAGGGGGTGGGGGGGGGAGACAAAAGTGAAACAGAATCCCACGTTCCAGCAGAAAGACAAAAATTATCTGTAGATAAAGATAAGTCCAGTGTGAGTGACTGAGAACGGAAGTTGTTAAAGGTTTGCTCTGGGTCAGTAAAAAAAAAAAAAGGTTGATGTTCAAGGTCATGACTCTGTGTTGCCAGCACGATGGGACTATTCTGTTGTGGTAGCATAAGTAAAAGCATTTTGGTACTTTGTGTGCAGACCGTAAAGACATTTGAAAAAAATTGTCCAAATTGAATATGACATGCATGCTTGACTATACTTTCCGTTGGGAACAGAATAGGTTGCCAAAATTTTAGATGGGACAAATGTAAACCATATAGGCCTACTGGTATCAATATAATTATGGCTGTAATATTATAAGCCATGATAATTTCGTCCAGGAAATACTGAATTTGACAGTCATGTGCAAATTGAGATAAACTTAATTTCCGTAGGCCTAGTACAAGTTTTGGCACTGGGCTGTTTCTACTGGAAGAAAATGAAAAAATATGCAACTTTCATTGCATATGCGACATATGCGACCTGCATATGCGACCTCAGCTTGTGAGTCCAGATGTTGAACCTACGGTGTAGGCCTATTACTGGGGCGAACCAACAAGATTTTTTATTAACTTTCCCCTCCCCCCCCCTCTCAAAAAGGTAAATTCCAATGGGTATTGTTCGAAACGTTTTCCTTGCTCAAATACTGTTGCTGTCAACAAGCACGGTCATCTTGCCATTAACCAATGAGGACACATGCATTTGACCTCTGTCAAGGGAAAGGTCACCGAGGTCAAAGGTCAACTGGCCCCTATTCCAACGCCGGTGAACTCAACTAACCCCAAATAACCCCACAGGGAACAAAATCCATTATCACTTCTGAAAGCCCATGCCACTTTAGACCAATCCAAACAACCTGAAAGCCCATCGTTTCAGATTCCCATGCAGGCTGATATTATTTTGAAGGGGAAAAAACCTTAGATCTTCGAAGATTTTTAGCGTGGTACCATCTTAACTGTCAAGTTATACTGCTAAGTTAGCGTGATACATAGGCTATCTGTTTCCACCTGAATTTAAAAAAGAAGGGTCAACTTTTTCTTCGGACCAGTTCCAATCATCTTGCTGAGCCCTTACCCATCGTTCCACGCCCGCTGCTAAATTCAATCTTTCCCCGGTTACCGTCCTCTGATCCTCAGTCATCATGATCCATTTTTAAACATCTCTGGGCCTTGACATTTGTCAGTCTGCCCCCCCCCCCCCCCCCCCCCCCCCCCCCCCCCCCCCACACACACACACCCACCCGCGCGCGCCCCTAGAACTTTAGAGAGAAGAACCATTTTAAATCGTTGTGCTGCGCTTTGACAACGATGTGTTCAAACACCGCACTTGGTTTTTCGTCAACTGTTCAAACAAGAAAACATGCCAACAAAGCAATGATTACTGCAGGATATGCACTCCAAACCTGTCTGGGGAGTTTGTAATTTCCCCCAGGGCTATTGCTGCTGTTTATTACATCACAATAGTGAATCGCGCAAGCCATAAACCCAAGTACATTGTACACTGACACCTGACACCGCGTGTTGCACTATTATGTTACCTTGAACCACGTTTTAATTGCCGTGGAGCGGTGACAAAGGGGAGTTGCACTAGCGCCCATTCCCCCCCCCCCCCTCCAAAAAAAGTAGGCTGATACCCCTGACCCCCAAACCGTCCATGGATATACGGCAGATAAGAAACGAGTTGACCATATATGGACATTCTTGAGGAAGCCAGGGGTACAGCCCAAAAACTTGGAGACAAAGAAGTACCATATAGCTAGTGGACCCTCTATATCTGTGGCACTTTCTAGTTGAGCAGTGAAGATATTGTGTAGACAAAGGGAACATGAGCATCCTTCTCACCTTTGTATCTTTTTGATTCTTGAATGCAGATGGCTTAAAACTTAATTACATTATGGTCGGCGTCCATGCATGCCGAGCCAAAGTTTGACCACTTCTTGCCGTTTTTTCCCGGTGCTGTTTACTGTATGGTCAAGACTGGACGACTTCTCTGTCATTGTAAATATTTCTTTGGGTTTGATGTAAGTTATCTCATCGGAGGGCAGTATTTCCTGCATGGTACATCAAAGAAAAGTTCAGCCAATAATTACTGCTGGGGTCAAAACTGACATAGATACCCTGTCAGTTTACAAACGAGCCGACCAGGTGTCAAAATGCAATCGTACCTCCACCTGCGTCCACTAGTTTCGCGTATGCCTTCGCAAATCTCTTTTTTTTCTAGTGAAGTGGGCAATATTATAATTTATATAATGAATATTTCTCCTTGTTCCAATGCACTTTCCATTGGCCTGCTCTTTCTCTAAGGCCGTATAGACTGCTTCGTCCAAGTTCTGTGAAATTGAAAAGGAGGTTCCGCCAAAAGGGTTCCTCCAGGTCCCGTGCCCTCCCCCTCCCCCGGAAAAGGGGGGTATGAGAGCTCGCAGGAACCAACCAACTAACCCTCAACCGTTTTAATATTTATCTATATAATTTGACAGGACCTTAGACCATGGAGCTATTAGTTAGACGTATAGGGAATTTTAGGGATGCTGAAAATAGCAGGCGCAGGCCTTGTAAATTCAAACTTCAGAAACGAATTTTAGTAAATACCAAGGCAAAATTCGACAGCCATAAACTCAAATTTATATTCTAGTTTCTCTTTCATATTATTATGGGACTACGCTCACTCCAATGACAAAGTAAACTTGAAGTTTCAGCCAGTGAAGTAATTTCCCCTTAGCGTTCTTTTCTGGAGAAATTCCAACCGAAACGGGGCACGTCTTAATTCCTAATTGGCCAGTTTACAAGAACAAAAAACCCAAGTGATAAGGAAGTGTGCAATTTTTGGCTTGGCTGGGTACGCCACACACTGACAACCATCGATTACGAACTCCGCGCTCAAATCTGGACCGGCCACATTTTGGACTTCAACTTCCGAACTTGGAATTCTCTCAAGTTTCCGGGTTGTTGTTAGGAATTTGAAGCGATGAGATAAGGGGTCAGTTCAGAGTTGTCAAAACAATGATCATGACGAATAAAATGTCGCAATGAAAATAAAATACATCTCTCTAATTTTGGCTGTTCATTATGACCAAGCATTTCAGGGCACTCCGGAAGAAGAGAACACGCCTGGCGTGTAGGCCTGTACCAAGTTTGTCCGCCCTGTACTGTTGGAATAAAAATTGAACTCAAATAGATTAATTAAACAAGCCCATGCACGAATAGATTTTTAATTCCTTTTTATTAGATCTTATGCGGAGATATTTATATTTGCAAGCGAGCAAGACATAATTAAAATACTTGTGCGAAGTGTTTGCTGTAATGATTTAAATAGGCCTTCAAATGAAATTTTATGAACCTTATGATATTATTGGCAAACAAAACCCACGCAATCCGGAGAGTGTATATGAATGGAGAGGATTGTAGAGATATCGGGAACATTATTTTGGGTCTTCATTTTGTGCAGTTTAATATAACAAAAGATTGAGCCTATAGATACCATTGATATTGACCAAAGAATTATATCCAAGACTGGAGATTAATTGTTCCGTTTTCAAAAAATACGATATAGAATTTATAATATTTTATGAAAATATAATGTGGTGCCATTTATCAAACTTGAATTGAACTCAATGAGATTCGCGAAGTCATCATGGGTTCTGCATACCGATACTTTCTGCAACTGCTGAATTGATAATGGGGCCTACCTGTCTGTGCCCCATCTACCATGTATTCCTAAATGTGATATGCGCATCACACATGTGTCCATATAAAAAGGTGTTGTCACAATTTCCGCATCAGCATTGTACGTGCCATTGCAGAATATTAGCAATTCAAACACACGTACATGTAAGTGCTATGCATATTGGACTGTCTACTTAAGATCTTTGAAGATAGGCTGTATCCTTAATAATGTAGTGAAAGATTCGATATTGAAAATAATCGCTTGTTATTGCATGACGAAAAAGCCAACAATGTTGCACAGAGAATGATAGTCCGGGGGAGGGGTGTCTTGACCGTATGTCCCTCAGGCTCCCAACCCAGTCCCTAATTATCCCCCTCCAAATTTTACCCCGCACCCTGCGAACCAATTAACTCTTAAGGTGTATGTCTACTTTACCCCCCCCCCCCCCCCCAAAAAAAAATGGCAGGAATATTGAAAACACACAGACAACATTTTAGGAACGAGCATGAAAGTTCATTTCCCGTCCCATTATTATTTCAAGTAAATAATAAGGTACATATTTGGGACTTAGATCGTATCAGGAGCATGCGACACCATCACGGTGTCTTGATAAAGAAACCGTGATGGTGTCGCAACTCCTGATACGAGCTCTGTAACTTAAGGCCCAAAAAGGTATCTGTTATTTACTTAACATTTTGGGATGTTGTAGCCTATAAGCCACAATTAATTCTCACTTGAAGACCTAAAAATATACAAAATGTGCAATTAATTCCATTTTTAAATTCTGCTTCACCGA